AGAGAAAGTGGAAATCCTCAATATTTAATAACGTATCACACAAAATGGCATAAGATGCATTTCTGGCTCTGTTACTAACTTGTGAAGTGATATATTTTCCTTCTTATCTAAATTGCTTTGAAATTATTACAGAAGGATGGTATAAAATATCATACCATAAATGCATACACAATATTTCTGTAGATGTAAAGTCCTAACTGCCTCAGTAAAGCAGAGATCTCATTAACCCTGGCAATCCTAAACCAACAATTGGAGAATGCAATTTCCTGCTGTTTACCACTAGACTAATATTTGGGGATAAGAAAAATTGATTGTCAGGAACCACATTACATTAGGCTGGTTCAGATGTAGTACTAAACATTGTGGTGCTATAATTTAGCCTGCAGGGAGGGGGTTGCCCTCCCCTTCTTCCTCATGCCCATGACGAAGTGTTCAGATTTTATTTGATTTTCACATCTGTTTTCAACTGTTCAGAATATAGTTGACTTTCACATCTGTTTCCACCATGGTTTATGAAACTGGCTTCTTTCCACTATCTGTAATTAAGATTTACCACAATTTAGGATTTGGCTGTAACACAAACTTGCAATCAATCTGAAATGGAACTAGCGGATGGTGAAGCAAGCCCAAGGCTTGCTACAGCTCATTTGTATAGTGTTGAACTATAGTTTGAACATTAAGTCCCAACTTCCAGTAACAAAATTCATGTGATTTAAGCAGACCAGAAATGTATTATATTCTATTACATATGAGTAACTGCTTATATTTCAAGTGCATCACTTAGAATTAGGCCTATCAAACTAAGCTTTACTGGGCATGAAATACATCAGTACCTATCTTAGATTTAAAGGAGGAAATGGCAAGAAGAACATACAATACTTATAGTTCGGTGTACAACACTATGACCCTTAGATACTCTCTAAATAGACAGGAACATCTTCAGGGTAGGAGCACACGGAAGCAAAGGTCAAAGATTAGGGACTTCCTATCATCAGGGAGACAGTTGATAGGACTGCACTCTTAACTTTACTTAAAATTACTCTTACAAATGGAGCTGTGACAAGTACCAACCAAAGCCAATAGAAATGTGAATGTACTTGACTACAGAAATACCATGCACCAAAGGCTACTGGTCCTTCTCTCCTAATGTATTTAGATACTTTTAAAAAACCATGAGGGGGCTTATTCAAATATGAGTTCTGACCAGTTGTAAAATGTTACAACTAAAGCAACACACATGGGAACACAGACTGATGCACAGGCAGATGTACTAAGATTTGCTTTGGGGCTTTTTCCCCAGTTCTCCTGCCATCTGAGATGAAACATCAGGTGACCGGAGAGAAGGTTTTCTTGGCTTTGACAACACTGGTGAAATTCACACTTCAAGGCGTAACTGGTACCTGTGCCAATACCTTTAGGCGCTAGCTAAAGACTTATTTCTTAGTTTTTAATCAAATCTGCTAGAGGCCTTAATTCTTCTATTTGCTGTTTAGAGTTTTATGGGATCATTTTGTTGTGAATTATCATGAAAATTGAAAAGTAATGTACAGATGTTAGAAATAAGTAAACACAAATAGCACTTTTCTTACATATTTTGCTTTGTTTATTCATGCAGAATGGACAGCTTTGTGTAGCTGAAAAGTATATTTTTGTATCGTAACTACACTGATTCAGTCAAAATCTCCAGAGATATCACAGGAATAATAATTTGCTTCCATACAACATAATTATAGCCACAAACTTAGACAGCTTTGAAAGGGGATTGGACAAATTAATGAAGATTAAGTCTGTCAGTGGATGCAAGTTATGACAGCTGTACATTATCTCCAGTAACAGAGATAGTATTCTTCTCAATACCTTTTGCTGTGGAACATGAATTGAACATTTGGCTGCTATAAGCAATTAGTTGATCACTGTGGAGACTGGACTGGGTTTTGGTCTGACTGAGCAGGGCATCAGTAACAACAGGGACAACATTACATAAATAAAAATGCCAACTTTGGAGAGTGATCCTATGGGCTCAAGGGCCACAGGATACATTAAATCCTCAGATCAAACATCAGAAACAGGGTCAGGGGTCTGCACTCTCAACCACTTCTCCCTTCCTCACAGGGACACAGAAAGAAATCCTCTTCAATGTCAGAGGATCAACCTCACAGCAGAAGTTAAGAGGGCAGTGAGCAGGGGAGGGCAAAAGACCGAGGACACCACATCCTGAAGGTGCTCCAGCCTTCCCACTCCAATGCGCCTCCACAACAAATTGGGCCATCTAGCTGAAATGCTGAATGGGGGAACAGGGAGGTGAAGTCTACTTCCACCTCTTCACTCTCCACCCCACCCCCCATTACTCTTCTGCTCTACAGGTTCTTAACGCCCTGCATTTGGAGGTCTGTGAACAGAGAGAGTGCAATTGATAGGCCTGTTCAAGATTCTGTGGATATATTTATTTATTAGATTAGATCCCTTTTCTCTCTCTTTTTTAAGGTGTTCAAAGTTTAATGTGTATCATTCTCCTCCTCCTGCTCTCCATCTTATCCTCTGAAGAACATGGAATGGATCAAAGTCACCCAGTTGGTTCCATGGCCGACTGGGGACTAGAATCCCAATCACCTGAGTCCTAGCCTATGCTCTTAACCACACATGAAACTGAACTTGGCATAGAATTTATTCCAGCTCAAAGGGTATATTTCTCTCACAAGAAAGTCAGGAGAGCAAGTTGCATTCCAGTTACACTCAGGAATTGGGCAAGGAGGGGGTAGTAGATATAGAAAGGTATCAAGGTACAACTTCAAATGATAATTTATTTCAAATGAACATACTTGAGTGAAATGTTTCATATGTACTTCTAAATAAGCCAAATAGAAGACCCTTCCCTTGCACTTCCAGAATGAGAACTTTCACACTGCACAAGTGTGTACATGCACATGAAAACACAGAACATGTATTTCTATAATAGGTGTACAGTCAATTTACTACCAACATCATTAAAGTATGTAACAGTACCAAAGATGATTTAGGAATTACTTTATAGTATTGGTAGCCATGGGAGTTGGTGCCTGGCAGTCATGGATCCTGAATAGCTTACATCTGTAGTAGGCTGTTTGGTTAGGGATCCTACACAGGTGGTTATTTGTGTGCTATTGACTGCCACTGTGGCATTAGTCCCAATCCACTGCTGATAACCTGATAATTTCAGGAAAATGTAAAGAGCCTTGCTGAGCTTCAGTCTATTTTTCTAATTTCTATCTGCAATTGCTTGTCCACGTCTTATATAAATCAACAGAGTGGAAAATTGACTGGACCCAGAGACAAGCATTTTCAGTCTTTAGCAGTTTCATCCATAAAACTGCAATCATACACCAATTAGAGCGCAAATCTTATTGAATTCAATGGACTGATCTTCTGACTATTCATGTTTAGGATTTCACTTTAAAACCAAATTTGCTTTTCTTTAGAAGGGTTAGGTGTATATTTAGCAAGTGCTTGCCTTTTCACAGCCTATAAAATAATGGATTTACATTTTTAAAAATATATTTTAGAAAATACCTCCAAGAATCTTTAAAAAGGGGAATATGTCACCTTTCATAGGTGTTCCTGGGTAGTGCCTATAACCCTAAAATGTTTATGGTGGTGGTAAAAGCTTTTCCAGGGTATAGCTTGACATGCTTTGGCAATCTCCCAAAACCCACAAGAATGGAGAATACGGCAAGACAAAGAAGAAGAATTGGAGAGAAAATGCTCAGTACATGGCAGGACTACACCAGCGTCTTCTATGTTTCTGAAAAACCTGAATCAATAAACAATAAGACACCAACTGGAGTTTAAAGTACAGTGGAAGGGGAACAGATCAGTCTAATCTATTATGTTGCATGGATCACTCTTGTAGCACTTCTTTGCATAATCCTTGAATTGTATCAATCTAGTTTACCTAGTTTAGCTGAAGCTAAGAAAAAAGTCCAGGCATAACAAGTAGGAATTACTATAAAATGGTGTAAAGCGGGCCTTTAAATATACACCGAGGAAAATATTTTCTACTACAGGTCTGGGTTTGTTGGGGTTTTTGTTTGTTTGTTTTTTTGTTTTGAACCGTCACAAGTACCAGAATGAAAAAGAATTAGAAATCACCAAGGCAGTCCTCTGTAGATTATGCTCAAGAAAAAACTTGTAGTTTCAGCACCATGGACAAGGGAAATTGAAATTATGTTCCACATAATCACCAGGCGAGGTAGCAGTAACTACTCCATGTTAAAATGCTTCTCTGGCAGCATACTAAAGGGAATGGGGGTGGAGGAAGCAGCAAGGGACAAAATAATCATATGGCTATCGAGGTCGGTACCTCCCCATACATCATACACAGGCTGATAGCTGGGAGGAAATCTATTTCGCCTTATTTGCTTTAGCATAACCTGCGACGAAGGTACAAACAGTAATCCAAGATCAAAGGGAGGCAAATGATCACGCAGGCCAAAACAACATATGGACATTAAAACAGAAAGAATCTTCAAGGCTGAGCGATTCAAGGGCTTTTAAACGAGAATCAATCTCTCCAGGAGCAGAAGCTACAAAAGCATTCGGCATGGAAAAGGGCTTTGCAGGCTTCCATTTTAGCTCTAGCAAGCCAAGTGGAAGCTGCAGAACATTTAAGGTGGGGTTAATAATGGTATGCACACAAGCTTTCCTCTTCCCTAGAAACTGAAACTAACCAGATTCACTGTACAAAGCGTGAAGAAGAGGTTAAAAGAGGGGGGAAGGGCAGTGGAAGTGCTCCGCTAGAGAGAACGATTCGATTCATGGTGATTTCAAAGCCATGCCAGGAGAGGAGGGGGGTGGGGTGGGAAGCAGCTCCTCGTGCAAACCCCCACACCATCCACTCCCTACCCCTCTGTAAAAAACGGAATGCAATAGACTGCCGCGCCGTGCGACACACCCAGCTAGCCGCGCCAGTCGCCCACCCACCCACCGGCCCTCCCTAACCGGCATTTGAGTTACTCTGTGCGTGCCTGTGCGAGGTAAGCGACTCCGCGCTGGTGGCGCCGGCAAGGTTCCCTTTAGACAGCCCCTGCTGCGCCCTTGACATGACGGCGGCGATCTGCCTCCTCTCCTCCTCGCTCAGCTGGCTCAGATCCGTCTCCACGCCGGCTGGGATCGCGCCCTGGACGGGGGGACCTTGTTGCACCCCGTCATCAGCGGATCCTGCTCCAACTGCGGCCCCTGCCACACCTTCGGGAAGCCCGGCCAAGCCTTCGCCGCCCTCCAGGCTCGCTTCGTTGCCCATGGTTGGAAGGATCGCTTCCTGCTAGCGAGCAGGCTCCTCTTCGAGGGGCGGAAGGAGCTGGTCCGTGGAGGCCAAGGCTGAAGCGCCACCTTTCCCGGTTTTCCTGGGGCGCCGGCGGGCTAGTAGTCCTGAGCGGCGGCTACCTCCATAGTTCGGAAACCGGGGTGTCCCTCGCTGTTGCTCGAGACAGAGAAGGGAAAAAGCACTCGATGGCTCCCCCTTCGCTGCCCACAGAGCGCATGCTCTTTGCACAAGACGGGTGATTTCCTCTCCTCCCCTTACACACACACACAGCAGGATAGCATTCTCCACCCTGCTTTCCATCATTTAAAGGAGTCGCACAACTACTTTGGAGAATCTCTCTCTCTCTCTCTCTCCACACACACACACACACACACACACGATGCATTTGTTCAGGATGAATCCTGGGATCATCAGCGATATATACAAGGCAATACGCATTTCACAAATGGCAATGCTGCCTATTGAGCAGGACAGATAAGGGTCCGGGGTTAGGAAACATAGAAGGTGTGCTAGTAACCAGACCAGCATGGGAAAGGGTTTTTCAGATACTGAATTTCTGTGATCCTGCAAGGGTTAAATAGCATGAAGGAACTTTGCGGGGCTGGGGCGGGGGGGGGGGTGACAGTGAAATCTGGTGACAATATTATTTTAAACATAGACCTTTAGACCCTAAGGGGGGTCTGTTAGCCCGTTAGAGTTTAGCTTGTACTATCCTAGTAAATGATACTGTCCTGTGTTTAGCCTCTGCATGTTGTGTAGTAACTTATAGGTGCTTTACAAATTATTAATAAAATAAAGCGGAGCATTTGAATTAGGAGATTTGCTCCCAGGGATGCAGCTTTGGGTTGAGTGCCCTATTTTCTTGAGCTTTTTACTGAGGTTTTATGTTCACCCCTAATAGCACATTTCCAGAAGTTGGTTTTACATTTTGTTGGTTCTTTTTTCCTATCATTTTAAATGTTTGTATTGTGTTATGTGCAATGCAGAAATTTATCAGTTTTCTGTAATTTGTGCATTCAACAAATGGAAATATAGGGTAGAAACTCTCCAAATAAATGCTAGATTTTTGTTCTTATGTGTTGTTTTTTCTGTAGATCACTTAACGACATTCAGACACATAGAATGATGCTCCTTATTTAATTACAAGTCCATGACATTACTGCAATGGCCACTGAAAAAGAATTAACAGCTGCTACTGTTAATGGAAACACAGAACATACTAGTATGTCTCAAAAGGAGTCTAGAAGACTGTCAAAAAGGCAGGCAGGCAGGCAGGCACCAGGTGACAAACACACAGGTCACATCTGCTGAAAGCTCTGCTCAGGCTCCCATAGCTCAAATGTCTGTGATTCTTCAGCCCATGTGGTCTCCCGCCCATCTGCTCAGGAAGTAGAACCAATGTACACTTAGGTTCCAATTGCACTGCTTGTTCTCTTATGATGCAAGGCATTAAACTAGAAGAAAAGGCTGCACCTTATAACAAGAACAGAACCATTATGAAGGTTTCAGGAACCAAGCACCTGAGGGATATACAGTCCTTCCTGAACGTTCAGATTTCATTTTTTAAAAATGTTTTCACTTACAAAGAAATATGCAAGAAGCCTTCTGCCTGATCACCCAATGAGATGCAAGTGTGCTTCTGCATTTCAATGTTTTGGCCTATGAACACAAAAGCATTGGTATGACTGGCAAACTGTTAAGCACTGAGCACTAGTGAAGGTATGGCTACTCAAGTACTTGGGATCCTAGCCTAAGTTACAATAAGCCTGTACCCTGTGCTCTGTGTGTGTGTTTCTTGTTGACAGGGAGCTACAAGCTACATGTCCATGAGAGGCCAATATAAAGAAGGATTCTAGAAACCATCAGGCACATCCTGTCATTTAATGTGCACCAATGGATCCATACTTCTTTTATTTCTCAAAGTAAAGTAAGGAGAAGACCTTTGTTGAGCAGAGCAAGAGTAACAACTTAGCTACAGGCTCTCAAATTCTCCAGAATTCTTCAATCAGACCAAGTGATAAACAAAAGGAGAGAAAGCCATGCAATCTGCAGTGTTATACTCTTAAAATTGGAGGAGATTGCAGATATTCAGATTAGACCTTATCAGGTACTGAGATGGTTTAGGTAATACACAGGACTCTTCTAAGAACTGCTGAAATAAAGAAACAAACAAGCAATGGATTCCAACAAGTAAAATCTAAGTCCTGCTTGAAACTGTTTGGCAAAACACAAAGGTTCCTTGGCATGTGGAAAACAGAAGCAGGAAAAAAGTTAAAGGTTGTTCTGTTATCAAAGTTTGAGATGGCTTTAGATTGTATACTAGTTAAAAAGTAAAAAGAAGTTAGATTGAGTAGTTTTATTACAGTAGAGAATAAATTTATCCTCAGATAATAAATTCTTCAGGTAGTAGGAACTTGCTGGTGAATGGCTAAATTTGGTATCTTCTTAAGTCACAACCTGCCTTCTCTACCAAAGGTATCAATGTTGGCCATAAGAAAAATTCCAAAAACAATATACATATATTATGCTAACTACAGGTAACACAATAGTGTGAACATTTTCAGAGAACCTTTCTTTCTGCCACCATATCTGATAGAATCCTTCTACAATCCAACTTAAGACTGCAACTCACTGAAGGGAACTTCTGGTCCATAGTTCAGATCGAACTTGAAAAGGTTCCTATTCTGGGGGCCAAGGGATGGTTTCCAAGCCCAGGGTCCTGGAGGAATTCCCACTGACCAGTGACTGTAGTGGAGAATGTGGGAAGAGGACTCACCTGCTCAGTCTGCTCCCACTGGTGCAATGTGCCCACGAGAGCATCAGCAATTGGTGCGCTCCAGCTACTGTCTCAGTGGTGGAGGCTTTGATTGTACCACACATTCCCCACTGAGGCATTGCATGAGAAAATCATTCTAAGCTGAGCGCGGGGCTGGAGTTTTCCTCCAGCCACTGCCTCAGTCAGCGCAGTCTTCCCAAATGCTGTCTTCCCAAAATAGAGGACATTTGGTGCACCCTGCATGCACCAAAGCAGAATCCAAGGCAATGTGATAGCTGCACATGCAATGGCCTATAGTCAACAGCAGGCAGGAGTTTGAAGAACGATGTAAAGAAATCCACAAAACTGAAGTCGGGATAAACACATTCGGAACTAGCAATTTTCCAAAGCCATTCCCACCTTCTTGGTCCCTGTATGTTCTGCTTTCAATCATCACTGCCCAAATGGCATTTCATGTTTCCTTCTGCTCCTTGGTCCTACTTACCTTAACGTTCTATACGCCAAGACTTCTCACCCTATCACCCTACAAACATAAACTCCAGACAAATGTGTTCTTTAGGATGTCACAAGACTCATGAAAAAGAAATGCTTTTGTCCAGTTTCACTCAGTCTAATGTTACATAAGTACAAAGAATATACTAAGAAGCACATAATAATACATACATTGCTGGATATGCAAGGAGAAGAACAATGATATATAGGTGAAAGACATGTGCACATTCCAGCACAATGTTTATGTTTTCAAGTGTCTAAAAGTCTCAGACTTGCCTAAATCCCATTTCTGAAAGTGAATTACATTATTTAAGAGCCTACATCACAACTCACACTAATAGGATTAGACACCTTCAAATCTAAGCTACTTAGACTGCAATCTTCCAAGTACTTACACTGAAGTAGGAAGACAGAACTCCATGTTAATTGATTACATGAATACATTAATAAACATGGATATTACTCAAATTTCAATAAATCGTTGTTCTGAGAAACTGAAGGTAATATATGATGAACTGTATTGTAATAAGAAAAACTAACACTCACTTAATTTCCCCCTTGTCCTATTATAAGAGAGGAAAACCACCTAAAATTTTAAAATTAGTTTTTATTGTAAGATTTCAACAAAACAAGAAGAAATGAAAAATACATTCATATAACTTAGAAATACCAACTAAAAGGGATGCATGGTATTTGTGAGCATGGCCATGGTGAATAAAACACAGCCTTCTAAGAATTAAACCAAGAATTAAACCAAGTACAGGACAGGCTGACAAAATAACCTTATATATGTCAATTTGCCCATGGCCTCGGCATACCACCTATTCATATGTGGGAAATGTCATTGTATTCTCAATCCATTACATTATAGGAACTAAATATTTCTCTTTCCAGCATTGCACTATCAGTCTTTAGCTGCTGAAAGGGCATGGAAAAATCATTTTTGCTGATCTACCATTAACTTCCAGTAGTAAGTAGATAATTTAAGAGGACATGTACATCAATGAATACTAAACAGTATTCCAGTATAAGGTTTATCCCTATAATAAACTCCCCCTCCAAATGAGGTAACAATTGGATAAAAAGCTGTATGAGCTATATTACACTTTCAGCAATTAGCCAACTTAAATAACCCCTTATTAAAGAGATATTGTGGTATCCAATAGGTATGGAGCAAGAATTTTTGCTAAACAAGTCATAACCTGAGATCAGTTGGTATTTCCAACACAAATGCTAAAGTTGTGATTGAGTGATGGGGCAAAATGGGACAATCCAATTCCTTGTTTCATTGCCGCTTAAGACCCTGTATATCATATTTACTAACCACTAATAAGTATTTCTAAACTTGGATCCTGGGTTGATGTAACTGATTGGCCTCAATAAGTAGTTCTAATAACTAAGTCAGTTCAGAAGCTTTAAGAATGAAGGTGGCAAATCTAGATTCAAACAAATATTGAATTTGCAAGTATTGCCACTCAGCCATAGCATTCTTGCATTCTTTTCGGCACCAGGCTAAAACTTTTTAATGTACCCATTATTTTAAAAATTTATTAGGTTGCTAATGTATGATTTTATTACTGGATGCTATGCTTCATTTTTATCTTGTTTTTATTGTAAGACCATCCTGAGACAGTAGTAGTCAGGCAGTATACGAAAACCTAAAAAAATAAAAAAATAAAATAAAATAAAATAAAATAAAAAATACAGT